AATAGACTTCGTGTGTGTGTGTGTGTGTGTGTAAGTTAATGGTAATTACCTATTTTGCCATTACTCAAAATGGAAGCCTCTGTTATATTTTTTAATTTGGCAGTCATTTTTGTCTTTCCTATTATCAGATTGATCCTGTTTAATATAAGAAACTGCAAAACAAATATTACCAAACATTTTTACTTTTGAGAGGAATCCTTTGATCTTAAAATGGTTAATCCTTAAAATGGTTCTTTTCTTTAAAACCATTATTTTTCTATTGTGGACATTGCTGCTATAAACATCGGGGTGCACGTACCCTTTCAGATCCAGACTCTGAGAAACAAACTGAGGGTTCTAGAGGGGAGGGGGGTGGGGGGATGGGTTATCCTGGTGATGGGTATTAAAGAGGGCACGTATTGAATGGAGCACTGGGTATTATACGCAAACAATGAATCATGGAACACTACATCAAAAACTAATGATGTATGGTGATTAACATAATAAAATAAAATTTAAAAAAAACAAAAACAGAACAAAACAACCATTATTTTTCACATACTTACTGTTACTTATTTTCCTACTCAGAGGAACACTGCCCAGGATCTGAATTGGCTTCAGTTGGTCTTGTTCAGATATTTTCAGTATCATCCGTGGCTTTTTTGTCAAAAGAGATGAACCCAAATCTAATCAGGACTTTAGATTTAAACTTTACAGGAATTGAATCACTATATTGTACACCTGAAACTAATATAACACTGTATGTTAACTAATGGAATTAAAAACTTGAAGAGGTGCCTGGGTGGTTCAGTCGGTTAAACGTCTGCCTTCAGCTCAGGTCGTGATTTTGGGGTCCTGGGATTGAGCCCTGCATCGGGCTTCTTGCTCGGCGGGGAGTCTTGCTTCTCCCTCTGCTACTCCCCCTGCTCTTGCTCTCTCTCTGTCTCTTGAATAAATAACATCTTTTAAAACAAACTAAAAACTTTACAAAATAGGGGTGCCTGGCTTGTTCAGTCAGAAAAGCATGCAACTCTTGATCTCAGGGTCATGAATTTGAGCCCCAAGTTGGGTGTAGAGACTACTACTACTACTAATAATAATAATAATAAACAACTTAAAATAATAAACTTTACAGGAAACACATAGGATAGAGGAACAAATTATTTAATGACACAAAACATAATTGGAGAGATCCAGGATGTGGGACATCATGACAACTGACCCAATTCCTCAACAGGTCAAAGGTTTGAAAAAAGGAACAGAAGGATAGTATTCAAGAATAAATGTGCCTGAGCAGATAAATAGAATGAATGCACTCTGTTTGGACATTGACTTGAACAAAGCAGTTATGAGATTTTGGAGGTAATTGACAAATTTGAATAGGGATTGGGTATGTCAAAAAGCCATTTCTGCTTACTGAATAAAACAAAGCAGAAGGATGTGTTTACTGCAAGGCTTTTGACCTGCAAACCAGGAAACTCAAGGCTACAGAAACAATGAGTTTTGAGTTGTTCACAGGCTAAGGGATACTTATGGGATAAATATAAAAGTCATTTGGCTTTTTTGAGTTGATTGGTTGCCTAGTCATCTTCTTTCTTATTTGGATCAGGGTAGCTGAGTCAAGGAAAGGAAGTCCAGAGATGGCCATGAACAGACTTGGCATTTGGGAATTGGCTGGTGTCTTCTGCTGATTTCTGAGAAGAGATGTAAATTCCTTGAAGGTTGGGTTATAAGTTTCCTTTTTTGCACTTGCATTAACCATCTCCATTTTGTCCCTGATATAAAGAGACTCCATTTTAGTTTGTTTCTGTAACCAAACTAATGTGAGCTTGCTCCTTGGTGAGTTACAGATAGAGACTGTACCAGGTGGAGTTGTCACACAAAGGAAATTTTATTTGCAGCAAATAAGGCGATCACAGGAAATAACTTCCGAAGCTGTGACTCCCCTAGCAGGGATGAGATGTTTCTTTTTAGGGGTTAGAATGAATATTCAGCAAAGGGAGCGTTGTCATTGTATGCAAAGGTGGACATAAGGTTGTGCATACTATTTAGAAAACATGCCTATACAGGCATTCTGTATTATGGAAATGAATCTTGAGGTCCTCCTAGGGTGAAGACTTTAGTAGTATAATGAAGCAGAGGTAACTGTCGGGCAAGGGTAAGGGGCTATGGGGCTGCTCTGAGACCCAGTATAAAGTGAATGAGGTCTTGGTCACATTGTCTTGGGTAAGGAACGCAGGGTCTTGCTTACTTTTGAAACAGCACTGGGAGTTCTACCGCTGATTTATTATCTCTGATGTGGCTAGGCCATATCCTGGGCTGCTAGAGACCGTTTTTGCATTTCCTTTGTTCCCTTAAAATCCACAACTTCACAAACAATGAATCATGGAACACTTTATCTAAAACTAATGATGTAATGTATGGGGATTAACATAAGAATAAAAAAAAATCCACAACTTCTGAGGTTTTTGCATTTCTTTGTGATTCTGACACCTCCTAGGAAGTTCCCAAAAGGTGTGCTAAGGCAAGTAGAACCAGGAGGGCATGGATAACGGAAAATAGCTGGGGGTCTAAAGTAACTTCTGCCATGAAAGCCATGTCTCTCCTTTCTTTTTCTGGAGAACGCTAACTCTTTCTGCTTACAGTTCTACAGGTATTAGGAGATATGAAGGATTTATTGGTAATTATTTATTGAGTGTGATAATGATATTGTGGGTTTGAAATAAAATATTTTAAGCAAATATTTAGCAAAGTATTTAGGGGTTAAAAATATGATGCCAGGGGTTTGCCTCGGTGGCTCAGTCGGTTAAGCATCTGCCTTCCGCTCAGGTCATGATCCCAGGGTCCTGGGATAGAGTCCTGCATTGGGCTTCTTGCTCAGCGGGGAACCTGCTTCTCTCTCTGCCTGCTGCTCCCCCTGCTTGTGCTTTCTGTCTCTCTCTCTCTAATAAATAAATAAAATCTTTTTTAAAAAAATGATGCCAGGGATTTGTTTGAAAATTCCGTAAAATTTAAAAATGACAGATGAATTAGATGGTTAAAACAGTTATTAACTTAAATTTGGGATATGAGTATATGGGGTACATTTCACTATTCTGTTTTTGTATATGCTTGAAAACTTACATAATAAAAAGCTACAGATGCATTTCTGGCTGAGGAGAAAAATCGTGGCTTCCTGGTTTCACTTGGGTTATTCAATCACAAAATATTTATGTCTGGAGCAAACAGTGAAAGTATGTAATGAAATAATCTGAAGCTGAACGTGAATTACAAAACAATTTAAATTTTATATAGACACACATCACTGTATTTTCTGAAATTCCCTGCAATAGAGCTATTTTCATCTGCCACAACTATAGAGAGAGAGAGAGAAAGAGGAAGAGGAAGAGAGAGAAAAAGAGAAAGGAAGGAAGAAAAAGAAAGGAAAGAAAAAAGAAAAGAAAGGAAAGAAAGAAAGGAAGGAAAGAAAGAAAAGAAAGAAAGAAAAGAAAGAAAGAAAAACAAAACGAACGAACAGGACTAAGGTGTCACTTGCCCCCAGGACAGCAAACTAAGACTTATTTCCCAGGAACGGAATTTTAAACCCATCAGCCTGGAATTCCCTGGTCAGCATTAGTGAGGTAATTTGCCTGATAAGACTCCCTGCCTTCCCCTAGGACAAGGTAACCTGGCCTGAAATAATCCTTTCCTTCTTTCTTTTTTTTTTTTTTTTGCTAATAACCTCCTTATATGGGAGCTCCCTTCCATTTACTAGAAGGGAATGCTGCTCAATTCATGAATCGTTAAATAAAGCCAATTAGATCTTTAAATTTACTTGTTTTTTTAACACAACTCATTTTTTTTTTTAAAGATTTTATTTATTTATTCATGAGAGAGAGAGAGGCAGAGGGAGAAGCAGGCTCCCAAGGAGCAGGGAGCCCGATGCGGGACTCGATCCCAGGACTCTGGGATCATGACCTGAGCCGAAGGCAGACGCTTAACCATCTGAGCCACCCAGGCGCCCAACACAACTCATTTTTGTAAATGAAATTCAAGATACTTCTCTTTGGAGCATAATCAATGTTTGTATCAACTTTTTCTAAATTCCCAGCTTATTGGAATGAGTAGCTCATGCCACAAAACAGTGTCAAGTGCCCTTAGGTGCCTTGTGGAATAAAGGAGGCAGAGGAGTCAAACAGATTCCCCTTACCTCTGTTCCCTCCCCTCCGCACAAGACACACTGCGTGGACCGCTTGGACACAGAAGAATGAAACTTCCTATCTACCTCCCTCCCTTCCCACAATTTACCGTCTATGTTAACATAACTGTTCAGTTGTCATTAGCACGCCTTTACTATTCCAGGAGATTCCTGTCCAAGCAAATGGCTTGATTGTTCATCACAGGTTACATCAACTCTTAAATCCTCGCTCTTCAATCTCTTCGAAAGAAAGCAACAGTTGGCACCTAAAAACCCTTGCTGTTCTCCCCAATCCTGGACTGTAGTACCATGATCCTTGCGCAAACCTAATCAAGTCCTTCGCATTGAAACCAAACTTGCAATTCCCAGTGAATTCCAACCTTGACTTCGTGGCCCCGTTAAGGGGCTGTCTGTAAACTCCGTTTATTATCGACCGTTGTATTGGTGATATCGGAGGAGCTGACATTTGATGCAGGTTTGAGATCTTAAGTTCGGCGTTAAGCGGTTCAGCTTGAGTCACTACGTTTTCCATTTTTAGCCTACCCCTTACTCCCGCTAAAGATTTTGTTAACTTCACAGTGCAAGCTTTGTTTTTCTCTTTTATACGACCGAATTTTTTCAATTCGCAATTACTTTCTCGTGAGCTGTAAGAAACGTATAAAACAAAAAGAAATCTGACAGTTACAGCGCGAGAGGAATGACTCAAACTGAAACCCCCTCTCGGTCCGAAACGAGAGCCAGCTGGTGGACGTTGCGGTCCCGCGAGCTGCATTCTGGGAAATGTAGTCCAGCAGGTGCGCGAAACCCGAGGCGCTTCCCCTTGGGCATTCTGGGAAGTGTAGTCCAGGAGCTGGGTACAGTCGGAGGGTCGGCGGCACTTCCGCTCCGGGAAGGCGAGGTCGGGGCCGAGATTGCTGGCCGTGAGGTGAGTTAACCCGCGTCCCTGCCGTCCCTCCGAGGCTTCTCGGCCTCGGCGTGGGGCCAGCAGCCAGCCGGCCCTCGCTCCTGGCGAAGGGGAGCCGCGGCCGGCGGCTGAGGGCGGGGACAGAGGCAGCGGCGGCAGAGTGCCGCTGCTCGGCGGAGCCTCCGCGTCGGGGCGGGCGCGCGTGGCGAGCGGAGTTTGAAGGTCTCCCGCGCTCTCCGCGCCCGCAGCCTGGGTCCCGGACCTGCCAGCTGGCTCTGCGTCCGCCTCGCGGTGAAACCCTGGGCGAGTGACATAGCATCTCCTTGCGTCGGTTGCCTCTTGGCTAAAGAGCGTTAGTGTCTTCCCAGTGGTGGTCTGAGAATTAAATGAGATTAGATATGAAAGCTACAAATCAGTGCCTAGTGCAGTATTGGATGGGACCATGACTTCTGTCATCACACTCGGGCCCCCTGTTGTTGGGAAGATCCTGAGAGCCCGGCGTGGGCTCGGAGCCCCAGCTGCAGCTCCGCTGGCCCTTCACTGATCTCTGCTGCGGGGCCGGTCCTGGATTCCTGGATTCTTCCGAGACACTTGTTTAGGAAGCAGAGTTATCTTCAGCCGGACCCTGAGGAAAGTTCTCTGTGGTTTATCGCAGAGAAACAATCGTGATCACGGCTTCGCAGAGTGCCTGCGGCGTAGCGAGTCCTTAACTGTTCACGACGTGTAACAGCTGCGTGTCGTTAATTTAAATGCAACAGGATTTCTTAGTCTGCGGTTTTTATTAGTCATTATTTGCCTCCGTGCACACGGGAGAAGAAACTTTGTTGAGGCCCTTCCAGCTTAATAACATGCTCAAGTAATTACACCTGTTAAAATGGTGTAATTGGGGGAAAAATCATGGCAGCTTATCATTAGCCGCAGAACAAATTATCTGTGGGACAACCAGTTAGAGTTAGACTTTCCTAGGGTAACGGTAACTCATGGCTCTGAATTCTGGGTTTCTTAAAACATTCCTTTTCTGAACAGCACATCTGCAAGGGAGGTTTTATGAAGCACAATAGCATCTGCTTGTCTGACACTGGAGGAAATAGGGAATACCGGCATTATTATGATCCCCATTTACAGGTGACTGGATTGAGGCACAGAAAGATTAATACCTCGCTCAGGGTTTGCATTGCTGGGAAGTAGAAAACAATAAGTAGAAATGCAAAATTTGAACCCAGGCACTTTGGCCCCATTAAGTTAAATTATATTGCCTGGATGTCTCTCATTACCTCTCCTACCCAGGCTCAGGAATGCTCTGGAAGCTACCAGAAGCACTTAGGTTAGGGACTGTTCATGAACAAAGGCAGCTGACTGAGGGGGCCCAGGGGATGCTGGAATCCAGCCCCTGTTCTAAATTTTGCCTGGAGAAAGCAGCTTCCTGTTGGCACAAAGCGCCACACCGACTACCAGCTCTCTCATGAGGACTTTCCCTTCCACAGTTTTGCCTTTCCAGAGCTCTGCCTCTCCCCAGAAGGAAAAGAAGAAAAATGACCAAGTTCCAGGTAAGTTGGGTTTGCCTTTCTGTTACTTAAAATGACATCTCATTTCATAAAGATTGGATGCATTTTTCCCTTGCCTGGGAAGGGTAAAAAGGAACCCAAGGCACCTAATTGTTGTATACCAGGCTCTTGCTTTTTATTTCCAAATAATAGTGTGAAAAGTAATAGATATTTAAAAAAAAAAAATAATAACTCCCACATTACAAACGTGTTTACAAATCAGCAGTTTTAATTGTCCCGCATTCTTTCTCATTTGTGTTGACATGTCTAGATTTATAATCCTAGTTTAAGTACCATTTTGGGTTTTTCAAATGTAATTTTATATTACCTACAATTTAAATGGTCACATCATTTCCCATAATTTACCTACTGCTTTACCCCATTCTCCATTTATATGCGGATTTTACTATTTTAAAGATGTTTGCAACGACAGTTTGCTAACATATAACCTTTCTTCCTGTACAGAAACTCTGAGATTTCAGCCTTTTTTTTTTTTTCCTCTTTAAAGTTCCAGGGACTCCATGGTTTTCTCACATGTGGTGCCTCCCATTTTGTGATAAGAATGTCTAAAGTACGGCTTGGTGCAGCAGAGTCCACCTCAGACTGAACTCAGAGAAAATAATTTTAGTTGTTTTCAAACAAGAAGAGCTAGATTTGGAGTGTGCCTGGCTGGCTCAGTCCATAGAGCGTGCGACTCCTGATCTCGGGATCTTGAGTTCAAGCCCCACGCTGTTCGTAGAGCTCACTTAAAAAATAAATAATTTTAAATAATAAAAAAAAAAGCTAGATTCCCTTTTTTATTTTAAGTTAAACTGTGTGTGTTATAGTTAGATGTTTATTTTATTCATTGAGATGTTAATATATTTTAAAGAAGTACATACTTAGTTTTAAAAATCCTTAGTACTAGGAATTTGCCGGGCATTTACTCTGTGGAACAGCTGTGTGAGGATATAGATGGTCTTACCTGCATTTTAACATGAAGAAACAGATTTGTGAACCTTCAGATACCTACTGAAATCCACTCGGTGCCCAGTGACACTGAAGTTCCTGTTGTCTAAGCAAGGAGTTTCAGGTGTTTAATCACAGTAAATGGAAAGACCCAGAAGAAAAGAGACTTCTATTCGGGGACCTGAGGCAGGCTGCATGTGTGCATGTCTGGTAGGCGGAGGCCTCCAAAAGTAATATCATCCTCAGCTAATTCCTTTTCTTAGTGGCTTTCTTTCCTTTGTCAGATGTATCAACTAGTTGTTTAATATATAGATGCTCAGAACTCTAGCTAGAGTTGAGATAATTTTTATTGCCATACAGAAAAAGTTGTGAGACATATAGGAAACAGGAGCCGGGGGTGGGGTGAAGGTGGGAATTTATACATACTAGGAAAAAGGCTTAATATTCTCAGTAGGAAATTTACTGATATCTAAGATATTCCAGTAGGATTATAAACAAAGGAAATGAACAGGTAATATATTTTAAAAAATCAAAAGATTTTTTATTATTTGAGTATAGTAAAGACAATCTTTTTAAATAAGTGGAGGGCACCTGGGTGGCTCAGTTGGTTGAGTGTCTGACTCTTGGTTTTAGCTCAGGTCATGATCTCAGGGTCATGAGATCAAGCCCTGAGTCAGGCTCCACACTCAGCACAGAGTTGGCTTGAGATTCTTTCCCTCTCCCTCTGCCCCTCCCCCTGCTCGCATACACACACTCTCTAAAATAAATAAAATCTTTTTAAAAAATTAAAATTAAGTTAGTGGAAAATTTTTAAAAAGTTTATCACTTACCAAATTACCCAAGATTTTAAAAATAAGATATTGTCCAATTTTGGCCAGAAGATAGAGAATCAGGGATACTTCTAATCTCTTACAGGAAGAGTTAATTGGGAAAATTGTCATTATATTAGCAAAATAAAGGTGCATATTTTTCAACAGTGCAATTGCCACTTCTTGGAACTTATCTTAGGGAAATAACAAGACAGTTGGCTGAGATCTGTATAAAAATGTTTTCTGCAGCATTAATAATTAAAAAAACATACTGTTTAATTACTTGGAATCATTAAATATGTTCTAGATCACCACTTTTGTGGAATACTATGCAACCAGGAACAAGGATGGTAGCAGTAATCGCGATGGCTGACGTTTGTTGAGTACTTAGTGTGTGTCAGATGCTGTCCTGAGTCCTTTATGTATTCTCTTTGGTCCTTTCAAGTACCTTATGATGTGGTACTATTACACAGATAAGGACATTGAAGTATTGAGAAGTTAGGTGACTTGACCAGGGTCCCAAAGCCAGTAATGGACAGAGCCTTAGAGGCATGTAGTCTCCAGAACATATGCTCTTAACCTCAACACTGAATGCTGCTGAGGTTGACAGATAGGTCATGCTCCTGAGATCATAGAGAATGAACTGCACACCTGCCTGGGAGGGGTGCTGAAGGCCTGTTAGGTGCGCACACGTGGACGAAATAGTGGTACTGCCCAGTGAGAGGAGGAGACGGGCACGATTAAAAACTGTTGGGATGAATTCCTGAAACATTTCTTGTAAAATTTGGCACTATTAGTCAAGTTCTAAAACGTGTATATGCCATGATTTGACCATGGCAGTTCTAGAGACTTAACTATATAAAGGGCACCATGTCACATGTACACAGGTATTTTTCTTTTTCTTCTCTTTCCTTCTCCTCGCCCCGTGACCCTCGCATTTTTGGTATGATTGTGGAAGGGGAGGAGGAGAAACTATTAAGAAGAGTTGCTCAGATCCCTCAGAATCTGGAACAACTTCCCACATAGCTCCTCCACCCCCTCAGCGTTGCCCTGCTCCCCGTGGCCACCGGGTGCGAGATTGAGGTTGCGTGTGCTCGGTGTTGTAGGAGACGGTGACGTTCAAGGACGTGGCCGTGGTCTTCAGTGAGGAGGAGCTGGGGCTGCTGGATTCCACCCAGAGGAAGCTGTACCGGGACGTGATGCTGGAGAACTTCAGGAACCTCGTCTCTGTGGGTGAGCACAGGATCTTTCTGTAACTCATCCCCTCAAGCAGGGTTTCTTAACCTAGGCACTATTGACATTTGGGGGCAGATGATTCTTTGTTTTGAGGACTGTCCTGTGGATATTAGGATGTTTAGTGGCATCCTTGGCCTCTGCCCACTAGTTCATGGCTTCAGGACTCCTCAGAGGCCAGAGTTTTCTAGTCCCTTTGGAGCACGGAGACAAGACGTTTCTAGTCTTTGTTTCAAGGCAGACGTTGTCGCATGTAAATGAACCATAAATGAACAGTTAAGCTTGTCTTCACCTGGCTCCATATTTCATAGATATTTTTTAAACATGTAGATCATGATCTATTGGTGGGTCAGGAAACTAATTTAGGAAATTGCATCAGCAGTCTTACAGAACTCTTACAGAACCGAGTAATAGTATCAGAGCTCCTTAGAATGGTGCACGTTGGTGCACATGGTAGCAGTAACAGCAAGCTGTTTCTAGTGAGGGGTGTCAGACCGGGAAGAATGTGACAAAAACAGACATTGGTTAGAAACCGTTCATTTGAGGGGTGCCTGGGGGGCTCAGTTGGGTAAGCATCTGACTCTTGACTTTGGCTCAGCTTACGATCTCAAGGTTGTGAGATGGAGCCCTGAGTGGGGCTCTGAACTTGGCATGGAGTCTGCTTGAGAGTCTCTCTCTCCCTCTGTACCTCCCTCCACCCCCTCTTAAAATAAGAAGAAACAGTTCATTTGACCATTTATTTCTAGACTTTGTGTGGTAGTGATATATCTCTAATGATACCAAGTGTATTTCTTACTATGGGTGGTGATAGGAAAGTGTTTGACAAACACTGCTTTGGGGAGGGGCAGAGCCTTATTGTATTATGGGACGAGAACCAAAATTTTTCAGTACTTTCGCCCTTAATGTTTTTCACTTTTATCTTACCTTTTCATAGGGCATTCATCCTCCAAACCAGATATGATATCCCAGTTGGAGAGAGAGGAAAAGCTTTGCATGAAGGAGATCCACACTGAAAGAGGTAGGCACTCAGGTAAAAACTGTGCAACCGGGGTCTTTTGTAGGTGACGGCCCCATTGTTCTGCCTCTGTTCTGGATAATCTTCATGCAGCAGCCAGAGAGACCCTTTGAAAACATTAATCATATCATGTCACTCATCTGTTTCAAACCCTCCACAACCTTCTCCCTTCACTCAGAATAAAACTGAAAGTGTTTGTGGCACCAGGGTGGCTCAGTCATTTAAGCATCCAACTCAGTTTGGGCTCAGGTCATAATCTCAGGGTTGTGAGATCGAGCCCTGCGTTGGGCTCCATGCTCAGTTCAGAGTCTGCTTGAGATTCTCTCTCTCCCTCTGCCCCTGCCTGTGCTCTCTGTCTCAAAACAAAACAAAACAAAAACCAAAAAATGGGTGCCTGGGAGGCTCAGTTGGTTAAGTGCTTTCAGCTAAGGTCATGATCCCAGAGTCTCAGGATCAAGCCCTGCATCAGGCTCCCTGCTCAGGGGGGAGTCTGCCTCTTCCTCTGCCCCTCACCCTACTCATGTTCTCTCTCTCTCAAATAAATAAATAAAATCTTTAAAAAAACAAAAAGAAAAACCAAAGTGTTCAAGCGGCCTGGAAGGCCCTATGGTATGTGCTCATTCCCCCAGCTTAAACATTCATTCTACATTTTTCTCCAGTCATCTCCCCCCACCCCACTGCTTTGTCTGCCAGCCTCACTTGTGCCTCAGACAGCACAAATATGCTCTTCATCAGGACCTTTTCCATTCTCTTCTCTGGCTGGAATGCTGCCAGCCTGTACACATCCAGTCGCTCTGGCTTTCTTCCTCATGTCGGTGAGAAGCCCTTTCTTCCAAGGCCTTCTCTGACCACCGCTTAAAATGCCATGTCCCGTCACTCTCCATATCCTTGACTTGCCTTAATTGTGTGTAAGCGCTATACCACCAGGCTTACTAACATATATGATTTTTAAATTGTGGTAAAATATACATAACATAAAATTTATTTTAACCATCTCTAAATGTACAGCCCAGCGGCATTAAGTACATTCACGTTGTTGTGCAACTGTCAACCCTGTCCATCTCCAGAATGTTTCCATCATCCCAGACTGAACTCTACACATCAAACAATGACTCCCTGTTCTTCCCTTACCCCGGTTCCTAGTAGCCACGGTTCTCCTTTCCGTGTCTATGGATTTGACTCTTTCAAGTACCTCACATAAGTGGAATCATGCCATTGGTGTCTGGTTTATTTGCCATTGGTGTCTGGTTTATTTCTCTTAGCATAATGTCTTCGAGGGTGATCGTGTTGTATGTCAGAATTTCCTTTTTTTATGACTGAATAATATTTCACTGTATGTACATACCACATTTTCTTCATCCGTTGATGGACATTTGGGTTGTTTGTACCATTTGGTTATTGTGAATAATGCTGCTGTGAACATGGGTGTACAAATATCTGTTCAAGTCCCTGCTTTCCAATTTTTGTGTACATACCCAGAATAGAAATGCTGGATTGTATGGTAATTTTTTTTTTTTTTT